CCCCAAAACCCCAAAACCCCAAAACCCCATGATTCTATAGATTTAGTAAAATAGTAATGCTAGTATATTATTTACTTTAGATTTAGATAAAATAGAAGCCTTTAGTTTGAAATAGGTTAATAATTAGATAACACTATAATTGAGGCACTCAAATCCTAAAGGCATTGCTTTGATTTCCTTTCTCAAAGTTCATCCGTCTTGACCGAAATCTGTTGTGAATTAAACTTATCTTTCAAGGTCTGCTTGTGCAACTGAAGGCCTGATTCTGGCCAAGGCTTGGAAGAAATCTTCGGTCATAAGTTCTGGAGCTCTTAGCTTAGAGGGATCTGCCATAGTGTGCAAATTCATTTCTACTCCCATTGGATCAGTTGGGTATGTTGGTACATAGAAACCTTCTGGAGTCAGCTTGAACTTGGTGGCACTTTGGCATTTTCTAATGGGCAGCATCATAGCTTCCTTTACTACTACAGTAATATCAGAGCCTGAATAGCCTTCTGTGGCTCTGGCTAATTCTATAAAATCATCCTCGGTAAGATCATTTGGAGTTTTGCCTATTCTTATCTTGAATTGAGTAGCTCTGGCATGAATATCTGGAAGAGGGATGTAGATTCTCTTCTCAAATCTTCTACGGATAGCTGGGTCTAGTTCCCAAGGGACGTTTGAAGCACCGAGCACCAAAATACCATCATTATCATTACCAACTCCCTACATTTGAACCAAGAATTCAGTTTTAATTCTTCTGGAAGTCTCATTCTCTCCTTCACTTCTGCTTCCACAGAGGGAGTCTACCTCATCAATAAAGATAATAGCTGGCTTATTTTCCCTAGCAAGCTTGAACAGCTGCTTTACAAGTCTCTCAGATTCTCCCAGCCACTTGCTGACGAGATCGGAACTTGAAATACTGAAGAATGTGCCGTCTGCTTCAGTAGCACAAGCTTTTGCTAAGTAAGATTTTCCAGTACCTGGAGGCCCATAGAGTAAGATACCTCTCCAAGGTTTCCTTTCACCTGTAAAAAGTTAAGGGAACCTAGTCGGCAGAATGACAGCTTCCTATAGAGATGACTTAGCCTAGTCAAGACCAGCAACATCAGTCCACTTCACATTAGGCTTTTCTCTTACTATAGCAGATGATAGAGCATCCTGCAACTTCTCCTCCTCTTTATTATTCTCATCATTGTGGCCGTTACCACCACCAGATCCACCACCACTATTGCCACCTCCATTATTATTACTAGTATAAGTTTATAATCAAGAATATGTTAATGATCAGATTCTTACTTTTTAGGGCCTCCACTTCCGCCACCTCCTCCAGTATTATTCTGCTTAGGTTCTGGTTACTTTTCTTCTTCTCTTTTGAGATGAGTCTACTTTATCTGTGTTGCCCTGTTAATGTAGTCCGAGGCAAACAATCTGTACTTCTCATTTAGCTTTGGATTCTTCTCGTCTAAGAAAAAAGTCATCAAAAAAGTTCAATGAAAAATGGTCGAAACCAATCAATAGTGATTTAGGTTGATTTTTAAAATGTACTTTTCTCAGAGTAGCTCTAACTTACATTTAATCAAATGGTTGAAGATTTCAAGTGCCTTCATATAATTGTCAAAAGCCTCTTGCCACTTTTCCTCGTTTTCTAAGGTCTTAGCCCCCTAGATGAACTGACTGGCTCTTTCACGATGTGCAGTTAAATCTCCCATTACAACTAGTTTATTATTTATTCTAATGAAGATCTATAATTTATCTTAGTTATATATCTTTTTGTCAAAATTACTTCAATTTTATCTAAATAGAACTTTATGGGGTTTTGGGGTTTTGGGGTTTTGGGGTTTTGGGG